GCTCTGAAACTCCAAATACGCCTCGCAGAAGAAACCCAGAAAATGCCTATCGCTGCAGCTGAATAAACAGAACATTCAACTGCTTTCATTGATTCAACGTGACTAATAAACACACGACTACGGCAATATACGGTTTATCTGAGTTCTTATTATTAAAATTTTCATTAAAATAAAGTATATTTATAATGCAATGCTTTTATCACTGCTTAAATCCTATGAAATATGTTGCGTGCCTTATTCTGTGTAAGAAGCCACATCATCTCACAGAAGGATTTATTTCAAACACTTGACTGACGTTATGAAGTGAGTTTGGAGTAAAAATATGTTATTAAATGTGGTATTTTCACATGCTTTCAGATGGAGCAGCATTTACTTCACAGAGCCGTAGTTCACTGAGAAGCTATGCAAAGAGCTGTCACTATCGCGAACGATTTCTTCAATTTCAGAATCGCGCGATAAAATCGTCTGCGTAGTTTTGCGTAACTTGTCAGTGAACTACGGCTCTGTGTAGTAAATGCTGCTCCATCTGAAAGCACGTGATGATGATTTCCTGCGGATTACAGAACCGGCATTACTATCAAAATGCGCATTACAATCGCATTCGATTAATCGTGCAGCCCTAATCTCAATATTTGGAGGTTTCGCTTTTGGAGAAGCTTCTTGTTTTCATAATGTAGTGAGTGTTCACTTATATGATTGGCTAGACATAACAAATCCTGAAACTAGATGACGAGTTGATATTCTCTTGATTTGTGCTTACACGAAAGTCCAAGAATTCTGATTAAATATTGTGATTATCAGATTAACCATTATCATGCAGCCCTAAAGTAAATGGTAAAATATTGACGCTTCTTCAAAACAATAAACTGATCTGTGCATATTTCTCTCCTGATTCAGATGAGATGACTTTTCACTGGAGGACAATAGCAAACTTCTATTTTGACCCATAAGTTAAAAATGTCTTAATGATGAATCAAGATGCTAATTGATGGACTGGAGTGCTGTGGATTATTGTGATGTTTTTATCAGCTATTTGGACTCTGATTCTGACGGCACCCATTCACTGCAGAGGATCCATTAGTGAGCATTGCTTTTATGATGTTTATGAACTGCTCAAACCAGGCTGGCTTTACTGACATGTAGAAGAACAGAGCAGAAAAACAACTACATATCAGTAGTAGTCCAGGGTGGGACAGTGAGATAATGCTGAGGCCACGCCCACACCGTACTAGCCTTATTTACAAAACTCCAGCACCTCCAAAATCACATTAATATGACATTCCGTGTCTACTTTACAATTCAAACTAATGAAATATTAAAACAATGCAGTACATTACCTGTAAAGCATGACGTCATAGAGTGTCCTGCCTTGAACATTGAGAATGTGAGCATACATTGCGCGCAGTGCATCCTCTGCCAGAAGAGCCATGTCATTGGTTATTATTCCTTGCAGGAATGAGCTCGTGTCTTGTCCAGACACACTGATGAGAGTCCTGTGCGGTAGGCTGTAACAGCTCAAGTGTACTGTATTGTTGGTGGGTTGATCTTGATTGTGTTTTCTAATCGGAGTCCTGCACGCATTCTCGTGTCTCGTACACGAGACAAGTCCTGTCACGGTCGCTCTGAAAGCACTGCTAAACGAAATCACCCTCTGCATTGTGACGTTTCCTGAAGCGCAGCTATAAAAGCTCAAAGTTCCTCAAAACAACACAAGTTCGCGTTATTTTGTCTCGCACCTTCCTTTTCAATCCCATACTGCATTGCGCGTGCGTTTGCTGGTGGTCGGAATACGAATCCATTCTATGGTTTAGCTCATGAATATTGATAATATGATCGTCTACGTCCTTCCTGGCCCGTCCAATCAGTTACGTGTTCTATTAATATGTATGAGCTAATACTGCGCCGTAGTAATCGGTTCGTTTGTAGTGAAAGCCAAAGGGGTCAATACGTGTGTGTATTCTATCGCAGTTTGTTTGAAACGCCTATTTCTAAACGCTGTGCGATGCTAAAATAACGCCGTCACGCGCCGGTGTTACATTCGGTTCCTGAAATTTGGTGGGCGGTGCTTACATGATTATTCATAACATTTCTCGATTGTGGGCGTGTCCTTGAGACAACGTGCAAATGAATGGAGCTGAAAATATCAGCGCACGCATCTCAAATCGGAACTGATTTTATTGGATTATTTCGAAAAGGTAATAAGTTTCATACTAATGTTGTCACTGTTTTTGTCACTTTTGTAGTAGGAAAGTATGCGATTCAGTTTATTAGAGATTTATTTATAATTTAATTATAAATTGCTGTAAATAAGTGCATAGCAAAAGTCAATATACATATAATATAGTAATCATACTTTCTCCAGTGGTAGAGCCATGGACTTTGTTATCCCTCAAAACCGTAACACCCCCACTTGCTAGTTTTACTGTGCAACTGCATATTAAGCTATTCAATTTTGTAGATCATACTAAAAAGTATGTAATTTTGTTTTTTTCTAAATATTTTATACATAATTGTACATTAAGAGCAAAGCAATGAGCATCAGTGTAAGTCCAAGACCAGACCAGACATATGAAATATGAAGAGTGATGCAGTGGCAAAGCAGAGAGAGAGAGAGAGAAAAAAAAATTACTATAATCACTCTAAATCTATAAATGGACAAATATTTCTGGGATGTGTGCATTCAAACATTTGGCTGTGTTTCTGTTTGTGAAAAAAATGTGATATTTACATTGTAAAATTTTCTTAAATCTTAAATCTACATGGCCATAGAAATAATATAAAATAATAAATAAACATGCCTAAAATTTTTGTTTTGATGGCGTAATTCTGCAGGATTGCAATTCAGTGTTTACTGGTTTAACAGTAACTAGTTTTACTGCCTATGTACTAACGTGACCTGCCAGAACTAACGCTACGCTAGATTCAACATAGTCTATTCCAAATTTATATTGAATGCAGCTTAGAACAAAATTTAATTTTTAATTTTAATAATTTATGCATTTAGCAGACGCTTTTATTCAAAGCTATTTACAGTCCATTCAGGCTATACATTTTTTACCAGTATGTGTGTTCCCTGGGAATCGAACCCACAACCTTTTGTGCTGCTAACGCGATGCTCTACCACTGAGCCACAGAAACAAAAATGAAACATTTGAACATCAAATCAATCAAATTATGTTTGAGAGGTAACGTCTTATTCTTATCAATAATAGTAAAATAGTTTTGCATATCACCAAAACATATTTGTCATTGCACTGCATCATTATCAAAATCAGCACATGGCAAACTATAGAGACATCGGTAGGGCTGAGGAAATTCTTTATACATTTTCTTAAAAATTGGGTTTATTAGAAGACCGATCTTGGGCTTTAAAGATTCAGATCAATTCAAATTAAATCATTTATTTTTTCTTTTTTTTTTACAGCAGTAAAATGACACATTTATATAACAGTTATATAAATCCAAAAATGTCATACAGGCTATACGAGTACTTATACATTTCTTTCTACATTTTGCCAATAATCCTTATGTAAGTTTTTGAATACAGGTCTTTTACTTGTAGTGGAATAGGGGTATTAATAATTTTACTTATTTATATCTGAATACATATCTAGTTCATCGAGAAAATAGCCTATTGGAAAGAAAACAACTGGTAATAAAGATCTAGTAGTAATTAGCTATGGTTGCCGACATGCAGGGTTGTTACACTAAAGCAGCGGTGTCAAACTCAATTCCTGGAGGACCGGAGCCCTGCAGAGTTTAGATTCAACCCTACTCCAACACACATACCATGTAGTTTTCAAATAAGCCTGAAGGACTTGATTAGTTGGATCAGGTGTGTTTAATTTGGGTTGAATCTAAACTGCAGGACTCCAGCCCTCCAGGAATTCATGATTATAGTCCCAGACGGGAGACAGATTTGTAGTGCTTCCTTCAGGTTTTGTGATCATTCTTCCTTGGGGCGGAATAAAGCTAATATGTGCTTATCCAATGTTATTCATATGCTTATCCACATGCACGTTATCAGTTTACATTTATGCATTTAGCAAATGCTTTTAGCTAAAGGAATTTACAAAAGAGGAAGAATAAAGCAGATTGTCAAAGAGCCAACAATACTTGTTATAAACAATGGCATGTTTATTAGACAGGTTTGTTATGCATGTGCTTATACATACCTTACCCAGGCGCAAAAGTAAAAAAATATATAAATTTCTCAGCTACTGTATATTGATGCCATGCCACCGCACACATTAAGCTCACTTCTGACATGCTAAGTGATCCAGTTCCAGAAAAAAGGTACAAAATCTGTTTCTAGGGCAATGCCTTTCAAAAGGGAAACCTTTGTATCTGATTTACCCCTAAAGAGTACCTTAAAAGTACATATTATTTCCTAAATGATACATTTTAGTACCTTTTGAAAAGCTATGCAACCAGAGACAACTTTTGTACTGATTTTTCTGAAAGTGTACGTGGATCTCTTGTGTCTTTTTGCGGATTACCATTCACACACGTGAATCTATAGTGTGTGTTTGTGTAAGGTTTAGATACTGTTTTCACTCCATACACGCTCTGTTAGATATTCATATGTATGCACATATGCATATATGTATATATATATATATATATATACTTTCCATAGTTTTCTAACAGTAATCAGTGAATCTGTGCTACTAATGAATTTACATGTTACTTGTATATTGTCTTTTCTGCAGAATGTTATCACCTCTTGCTATTTTAAATATTTTTCTTGAGCATTATAATAATGCACATCTCTGAAATAATGTTTAAGTGAACAGTATACTAGATAAAAAAGACATTTATTTTGATCAGATTAAAAAAAAACTCAAATGATAAATTAACCCTAAATGTATTATTATTCGTAATCATCATAAAACATCATCAGTACAATTGTAACTGGTAAAGGCACATTTTGGAATAGTGAAAACAATAAATATTACAGAGCTTTCAAAACTGACTTCTCAAAAGTCTGATTCAAGAATGCTTACAAAATAATTTCCAGAGTGGGCTTAGTGGTGAACCTTCATGCTCACTTTTTTGCTAAAATTTTTGTATGTTTTTGTAAGAATCAGAATAGTAAAAATTCATATGAATTTGCCACCAACTCACCTAAACATAGTATTATCAACTCATGAGTGGTTACACTAGACAGCTCAGAGGTAAATTGTCTGCATAATGGTCTTGGAAACAATGGAAAATAAGTTAAATCACAAGAAATGTTATGGTTACACCCGTTATGGTGTTTCCAGAATGACTGTGCCTCATTCCTGGTGAGGTGTGCAGTGATTGAGACGTTCTTGGCTTCATGCTGACGTTCAGGCTTATGTATTTTTATTTGATGCATAATTTAATCAACACCACCCACTTTAACAAGGAACAAGAACATGGCAAATCATTCGAGTGAATTGTTCGTGAATTTGACATTCAATAAAAATGTAAAAATTTTCAGTGAATAATGATCTAAATTCACAGAGCTGTTGTACCGCTTTGGAAGACTTGGAATATAACACACAAGTCATATGGATCAGTCCTCATCACTGTCTGTAATCAAATGTTGTTCCACGGGAGAAAGAAATTTGAGGGTCAATACATTTTGGGGTGAACTGCTCCTTTAAAATACCTTCTTAAGACAATGGTACTCAATCATTGCAGTCTCAATCCATCATTTTAGTGCCACATAATATAAATGCATATAGAATCTATAAATGCACAGTAATATTAAATGCACATCCATGTTTTTTGATAAAGAAGAAACCAGGAAAGTCAGAATAATTTTTTTTTTTTAGACTAATTAAAGGGATACTCCACTAGAAACTGCCCCTCATGCCGTTCTAGATATGACTTTCTTTCTTCTGTGGAACACAAACAGAGATTCTTAGAGAAATAGTTCATCTCTGCGAGTCCATATAATGCAAGTGGATGAGTCCCTTAAAGTTGACACTTAAATAAATAAAACTGTCAAATGCAGGTCCATAAATTCACAATTGATGTGTGACGTAAGTGGGTTGTGAAACTTGCACAAGAAGTGACAGAGAAGCACAGAGGACTGTCACTTCACAAGCAATTTTACAATTTTACATCATGATTCACAACATGCTGACATTCACAGCAGGCTGACATCTGGAAGCGATGGTTTGAAAAGTTTAAAATATTAGTATGTTCTATCATTCATCTTCAGTAGACATTGATTCAACTGGAGTTGTATGGATAACCATTGTGTTAGTTTTGCATGGTTTTTGAAGCATCAACTTTGAAGGACCCATCCACTTGCACTATATGGACTCACATAGATGGATTATTTCTCTACAGAAGAAAGACAGTCATATATATCTGGGATGGCATGAAAGTGAGTAAATGATAAGAGAATTTCATTTTTGGGTGAAATATCCTTTTGATTTAAAGACTCTGTTCCAAAACCTCGTTAGCTGTCTCACGTTCTACTGTCTTTTAAGCATCCTATACAAAGTGAAGCTACTTTACATAGGTAGTAACAATATTAAATGTCATTGATCAGCACAAATAACTCACAATTGATTGCAATTGAATTCAGCAAGCCAAAAATACATTTAGCACATACACGTTGTGTGAAAGTGCTTTGATCACATTTTCATCACAATGCATTCTGGGATTGCTTTATCCATAAGGTATACACGTGAAGCCTCAGAATCTGGCCAAAATGAGGAATTTTATAATGCAGCATAATCTTGCTGCTTACCGACTGGAACAGCCTTTGAATCGCCAGTATGCATTTACTTTAAAACTTAGGGATAGGTTGGCAGCTCACTTTGGTTTGGAACAGAGCCACAGAATAATAATAATAATAATAGGAGAAGATAAAGAGGTGAACATATAGCTCTTACAGCTACAGTATAAGGATACATAGGGGTTGTTCTTAGTCAAATTAAAGCAATGATCCATTAAAGAATAAATTGTTTGACAGACTTCCAATATGGTCAATACACTTGCATGCATTTGAATTTAGAGAAACGTCACACTTAATATATTTAACATATGTACAGAAGCACATAAAGAATTATTCTGAGAAAGGGAGAACACAATGTAAAGAGTTTCAGAAATGAATACTATCCTTCTATAATATATTTATTTTTCAGTATTGTTTAATGTTCAACAGAACTTGGGTACATAATGTTTAATCATGCCCTCACTAACTGTAATTTTCATTCGCTGGGACAATATGTTTTCTGAGGATAATGGTTCATGACTAGTCAAGTAAGTGTTTACCATTAAATCCACACAGACGTCTTTCCATTTTTTGCTATTGTCCCTGCCCTCTCAGTGCTGGCTTTCGGTCGTGCACCCTGTTTCTCCTGAGCTGTATTGACCCGGTTCTGTTCTGTCATTGTGCCACCAGACACAGGGCTGCTAGCTCTGGAGATATGAGCACTTTTTGTGTTATATGTCTGAAACGCCATGTCAAGTTGTTCCTGAGCTACTCGTAAATGGTGGTGCAGAGTAGCCAGGTCAGAGGGAATATTCTCATCAGGACTTGTGCAATGCTGTTCTGGAACCACTTTGGGCATGTTCTGGTCCTGTAGGATGATGCTGTTGGGAATGCGACCCGGTTTGTCCGATTTAACCACCAGGTTGTATCCTGGCGGAGAACTAGAAATGTTCCTGGAGTAAGGGTAGCCGTATGGAGGTTGTTGACCATGGCTTCGACGTTTACGAAGAGTGTCACGGAAGGCACCAATCCCCAAGTGGAACATCTCACAAACATTGAGCAGCAGACAAAGACAGCTCTCCACATACATGATGAGTAAAAAGATGGTCTTCTCGGTGGGTCGTGAGACGAAGCAGTCTACCCTATGCGGACATGGGATCTTGTTGCAGACATACGAAGGGTTAACACGGAAGCCATAAAGGAGATACTGACCAGTGAGGAACCCCACTTCAAAGATGGCACGGGATAAAAGCTGAAGCACATACATCCTCATCAAGCCTTCTTGCATGATCCTACGGCGGCCATCATGCTTCACTGGATCTTTGCCATTGTCTGTCTCTGGTTTGACCTCCTGCTCATCCAACGTGTCTTCTTCATAGATCATTGGCTCGGCGTCATCTTCCTCCAAGACCTCCTCTAGGTGTTGTCCATTTCTCCACCGACTGTGGTGGTTCCTCTTTTGATAAATTTGGTTCTTGCACCGTTCCTCCTCTGAGGCACGGGCAATCTTATGGATGGCGTAACCCAGATACATGACGGAGGGGGTGGATATCATGATGATCTGGAACACCCAGAACCGGACGTGTGACAGTGGGGCAAAGGAATCGTAGCATACGTTGTCACAGCCGGGCTGCTTAGTGTTGCAGGTGAACTTTGTTTGCTCATCTGAGTAGATTGACTCACCTCCCACTGCGGTCAAAACGATCCGGAAAATAATTAATACAGTCAGCCAAACTTTCCCCACAAACGTGGAGTGGTTGTGGATTTCCTCCAGTAGTCGAGTGAGAAAGCTCCAACTCATGTTGGTGACAGAGACTCTTTACTTATGTTCTGCAAATAGGAGAAAAAATGAGCAATGTAAGCCAAATAAAAATTCTACATGCATACATATACAAGATATTGGAAAAATTACAGTTTTTGACACAAAAGACTTATTTGCTGCAACCTGAATTATGCAGCTTCATTAACAAGGCTCATTCTGTTGATGTTTACAGGGTGCACCTCTACTTTCCTTTAAAGGCTGATTGATGTCTGTTGTGTTTGAGGTACTGGAGAACGAACATAATGGACTGTGCTTCAATATGCAAAATATTGCCTTAAAATAGCCTATCATAAGTTAAATACAATAAGAGTCTTCGTAACAATCAAATATACTGTGCAAAGGAGCACTGTGAATAATAGAAACTGTACAAACACCTTATACTCATTATCAATGCACTTCGCTCTGTTTATTCCTGAGAACTCTTCTTGGATTAGGTGCCAATTGTTTCCTATGGATGAATTTCCTGAGTTGTTTTGTGTGATTTTTCTGTTTCTCAGGTAAGGTATCAGGATGTGCAGTTCTTTGATATCGCCTGTCAGGCAATGGTGCAGCATAATCTCTCACTACACACTCAAGTCATTTCCGAACTCCAGTTTATTTCAGGTCACAGATTAATTGTTCCTAAGGACAAAACTCGGCCACAAAATTTCAGTCAAAGCTCAGCCCATGGGTATGTCTGACAAAGATTATTCAGAAGATGATCCAACAAATAAGGGTGAGTCTTCAGCTCTTTGAAAAACAAAGCAATGTTATAGAAAACTTTAAAATCATATTAAACAAAAAAATCATGTTTTTTTTTCATTCATGATTCATGACACTTTTCATTTTAAAAAAGTTTTATACTATTTGAAAAATCATGCGTATTAAACATTTAGTTATTTAAATGTTTGAACGTGCGCATTTTGAACGTGAAATGGTGAAGTGGTCCAAAACAAGCCAGACTAATAGAGAAGCATGCATTTCCAGGTCCCTAAGTGTTTTTTTTTTTTTTTGTATGTATGTACTAGCAGTTTATACTATTTTATAGCACTTACTATTCAATTCTATATTTGTATATATTTTTTTTTTATTATTTACTATTTTAATTATTTTAATTTAATTGATATATTGTACTAACCAACCCCTAACCCTAAACGTAACCAGAAATATTTTTGAAATTTTTAACCTAATATGTTTTATATTCTGGTTATTCCCTATATTCTGGATTTACATTCAGTTTTCTTGTTCTATTTTCTGTTTTCTACAAGAATCCTATTTTTCCAACAGCCCAAGCTGTTCTTATTTTATAAGTTCTTATTTTATTTTGTGTGGCATGGCACTCACTTTTTGTCTGGAGTGTGACCAGCTTAAAGTGCAGTAAGGGGTGAAACTGTTTGCACTACAACTTAGCATACCGCATAATGAACTGTTTTCGCACTACTAATATAACTGGAAGAGGCTGAAAACAAAATTTCTTGATCACTTGGAATCTAATTTGGAGCTTATTTACTATTTACATTTTTTTCCTGTTGCTTGGGCTGTTGGAAGATATTGCACAAAGAAATGAAACAGCAATACAATAAACTAACAAACAGATTACGGTAAAAATAGGTATTATGTAGTTACATCTCAAAATAACTCGTATATCATTCACTAGAGTTGCGTAAGGGGGGGGATCTTCACATAATCTGCACTGTGATATCAGAATCATGTTGCATTGTGATATATGGAGCTGTCTGACATATGCATAGACTCACTCCCTAAAATCAAGGGGTTGAAAAGGATCCAGTTCATGCAATCTCAAATTCATTACTATCGGATGTAGGCTAAAGTCTGAGCGAGCGAGATCAACCAAGGGGTGGAGCTTAGCAAAGGGTCAATTAAAAAAAAAAAAATGCAAAAAAAATGTTTCTCCCTGAAGTATATGAACTGGCCCCTGTTCGTATTTTCAACATGCCATTCCCTAATGTGGGATTTGCCATCTCCCATACCATCTGAACCGGCAGGAATGGCTGCAACAGGCTCACATTGTGTATCTTAGAGGAAAGCAAGGATAACTGGACACAGATGGTACTCACTATTCGTGGAACCTCATAGCCTGAGACACCTCAGGGAAAATAGGTGTTTGGTTGAGTGGATACTTTCAAAGGAACATGTAAAAAAGTGTGCAATCTTTAAATGCAGTTGCTAAAACCTCAGCAGATTTGAGTCTGAAATTAAATGAATCATTTTGCTCAAGTTTGCTCAGTGTAATTGACGGTATGTTTTCAGTTATCAGGTTGTGCACATGGGTTAAAGAGTACCGTCATATAACAACATTTATCCAGGTCAATTTAAGGTAAGGTCATGTCGAGTTAAATTACGGTTGTGCATTTCTATTAGTCACTCTTTTGCCACTCAAATCATAATCAGTCAATGAAAAATAAGTCCCGTTGTAAAAACTGCATTTTACATTACATTCAGTATCATTCATAACCTTATTACTTCAATCTCATTCGTGGAATCAAATGTGAAATTATAAAGACTTTGGCATACTGGCCCAAAAAGTTGTCTTCTATCATTTAAACACACTGTATAAGCCACTGAATGTATATGTTTAATAACTGCCTATAACAAAAGCATAGAGTAAACATGCAGATCATAAATATAAATATGTGTCAAAGGATGACTAGAGGAGGCAGTCAAATAAAGACAAACTATTTATATTGTGTTATAATAATTACCCCATTCTCTTTTTCCAGAAGTTAATATCACAGATGAGATTTGAAAAAGAGATTAGATGATTCTGTTGTAAATATTTACATCTCTGTGAACAGGGGCTAAATCTTAGGCAGCTACGGTACTTTGTAAATCTGTGTGTGCTATCCGTTCTGTCCATAAAACTGCAAAACACAGACAAAATGAAAGAAAATCTGAATCACAGCGTGCAACTAAACACAAATATTGTCACAGCCAATTCAGTGAGGTAACTGTGCTTGATTTGCCATAGAATTAAGCAAAGAAATATGCCCTTAATTAATGAACAAAATCGGATAGCCTCTCAATCAGCAGTTCAATCAAGCAGCTTGAGCTACATTTAAATTATATTTAACAGTACAGAGAATCTGCATAAAAAATAATTAAAAGGCTATGAGTTTTGTCTTAAAAACAAATGTTTTAAATAAATGTTGGTTATCTACATTTGTTAACTGTCTATAATTAAGTTATGATCTTATATTGTACATTTCACACATTTTTTCATGTTTCTTCAAATATGACTTGTAATTGTCTTGTAATTAAGTCACCTAAAACACATGAACAACTGCAAAATATAAATGCCAAATGTATCAAAGTCAGAGACCAAGCAGTTTATTTTTCATTAAACCTGCAAATATACAAACAATTAAAAAGTTAATTTTGAAAAATGACAAACAGGATATTGGAGTGCTGTATTAATATGAAGTATTCTTTTTTCGTATTGATATTTTTTACAGGTTTTTTTTTTTTTTTTTTACCGGTATTTTGAACTTTGCACTGTGTTGCGTTCTAGAACTAAAGGAATGTAACCACTTTTTTTTCCCAAATAAATAGGCCTACGTTCATTTTTTAGGGATTTTTAGATCGCAGATATCATTCGTCTCTCACGCGTGTTATCGACTAAGAGGAAATTACATACGGACCTTGGGAAGCTGCGCCGAGGAAACACCTCCCGAGGACGTGCGCTCCATCTGGTCATAACTTTCCGCCAAACTGCGGCGACCTCTCAGCATTCCACTTCAGGTGCGCTCAAAGAAGCGGTCGCCTGTCCACAGTCAAAAGGAATATCGTGATCCATTATCATCTAACAGCCACAGAGAGCGCTCCGCATCCCGTGTGCCCTCTGCAGACAGCGCACGAGAGAGCGTCAGTCTCATTGACTCCTCACACTCATCTCTGACTCGAGCTTGTTTTGCACCCACCGCCGGGAGAGGAAGTACAAAGAGAAAGAAAAGTGTTCCTCTGGCTAAAGGCCCTGAATCAAGGGTTTAAACTCCTAGACTGACCGCTGGTGTGTTCCAGCACAGTTGCCATGACAACCTCATGCACCGTAATCATACTAAAATCACTTGAAAAGGGTAGGTTTGCTATAGAAAACCTAAAATGTGTTAATAAAAGTGTGACTGACAGATCGACAGGCCCGTGTAGTGGCTCAGTGTTCTACATTTATAAGGAGAATGTCCATTAATATCCAACTATTGTTTAATTTACAGAGGAACAAATCCTAAAAATAGACTTTAGAACACAAACTAGTTAATCATCTATTTTTAGTAAGATTTACTAAATAAAGCCGAGACATTGGTTGGCCAGGGCTCAACATGCATTCCTGGACAGATCATTGCAACCTGGAGTACCTCCAACAAGCTAAACAATGAATCCTTTCAGTGTTTTCGCCAAGTAATTGATTTTCAGGGGCATTTTACCTTTTTAAAGGCATTTTTAGAATTATTGTATCAAATGTATATGTGTTGTCTTTTAGGTCAAATATTTATTCAAGTATTTATTTAATCAATCCGAATACTGTGGGCTGTTATCAATAACATTTTATCAACATCAGCAAATGACACACTCCAAAGGTGGTACAGCCTAGGGCGGCACTATTATGAAATATTAAATAATAAAATCATTATTGTCAGTTATTGTCCTTGATATTGTAATAATTAATTGAATGTTGATTAATAGAACAAATAAAAAAAGGCAGTCAATGACTTAAATCACAACTTTAGGTTAATATTAGAGCCCGACCGATATGGGTTTTTTGGGGCCGATACCGATACCGATATTTGGGAGCAAAAAAAGGCCGATATCGATATATCGGCGACAGGCTCATATCGGCCGATAATATCGGCTAAACGATATATCGGTCGGGCTTTAGTTAATATTGTGTGGCTTTTTTTGTTGTATCATTTTTGTTCATTTTGGTGCCATTCCCGGTTTATTTCCAACCCTGGAGAGAACTAAAATTGTATATATTCTGTATCTGACTACACTTGGAAAAAAAAAATATCATGTGAATATATAATAATTGTACTTTGCAGCACATCAGAAATGTATTGTATTGTATTTACCTGTATAAACCTGTATCTCCCATACCATCTGAACCGGCAGGAATGGCTGCAACAGGCTCACATTGTGTATCTTAGAGGAAAGCAAGGATAACTGGACACAGATGGTACTCACTATTCGTGGAACCTCATAGCCTGAGACACCTCAGGGAAAATAGGTGTTTGGTTGAGTGGATACTTTCAAAGGAACATGTAAAAAAGTGTGCAATCTTTAAATGCAGTTGCTAAAACCTCAGCAGATTTGAGTCTGAAATTAAATGAATCATTTTGCTCAAGTTTGCTCAGTGTAATTGACGGTATGTTTTCAGTTATCAGGTTGTGCACATGGGTTAAAGAGTACCGTCATATAACAACATTTATCCAGGTCAATTTAAGGTAAGGTCATGTCGAGTTAAATTACGGTTGTGCATTTCTATTAGTCACTCTTTTGCCACTCAAATCATAATCAGTCAATGAAAAATAAGTCCCGTTGTAAAAACTGCATTTTACATTACATTCAGTATCATTCATAACCTTATTACTTCAATCTCATTCGTGGAATCAAATGTGAAATTATAAAGACTTTGGCATACTGGCCCAAAAAGTTGTCTTCTATCATTTAAACACACTGTATAAGCCACTGAATGTATATGTTTAATAACTGCCTATAACAAAAGCATAGAGTAAACATGCAGATCATAAATATAAATATGTGTCAAAGGATGACTAGAGGAGGCAGTCAAATAAAGACAAACTATTTATATTGTGTTATAATAATTACCCCATTCTCTTTTTCCAGAAGTTAATATCACAGATGAGATTTGAAAAAGAGATTAGATGATTCTGTTGTAAATATTTACATCTCTGTGAACAGGGGCTAAATCTTAGGCAGCTACGGTACTTTGTAAATCTGTGTGTGCTATCCGTTCTGTCCATAAAACTGCAAAACACAGACAAAATGAAAGAAAATCTGAATCACAGCGTGCAACTAAACACAAATATTGTCACAGCCAATTCAGTGAGGTAACTGTGCTTGATTTGCCATAGAATTAAGCAAAGAAATATGCCCTTAATTAATGAACAAAATCGGATAGCCTCTCAATCAGCAGTTCAATCAAGCAGCTTGAGCTACATTTAAATTATATTTAACAGTACAGAGAATCTGCATAAAAAATAATTAAAAGGCTATGAGTTTTGTCTTAAAAACAAATGTTTTAAATAAATGTTGGTTATCTACATTTGTTAACTGTCTATAATTAAGTTATGATCTTATATTGTACATTTCACACATTTTTTCATGTTTCTTCAAATATGACTTGTAATTGTCTTGTAATTAAGTCACCTAAAACACATGAACAACTGCAAAATATAAATGCCAAATGTATCAAAGTCAGAGACCAAGCAGTTTATTTTTCATTAAACCTGCAAATATACAAACAATTAAAAAGTTAATTTTGAAAAATGACAAACAGGATATTGGAGTGCTGTATTAATATGAAGTATTCTTTTTTCGTATTGATATTTTTTACAGGTTTTTTTTTTTTTTTTTTACCGGTATTTTGAACTTTGCACTGTGTTGCGTTCTAGAACTAAAGGAATGTAACCACTTTTTTTTCCCAAATAAATAGGCCTACGTTCATTTTTTAGGGATTTTTAGATCGCAGATATCATTCGTCTCTCACGCGTGTTATCGACTAAGAGGAAATTACATACGGACCTTGGGAAGCTGCGCCGAGGAAACACCTCCCGAGGACGTGCGCTCCATCTGGTCATAACTTTCCGCCAAACTGCGGCGACCTCTCAGCATTCCACTTCAGGTGCGCTCAAAGAAGCGGTCGCCTGTCCACAGTCAAAAGGAATATCGTGATCCATTATCATCTAACAGCCACAGAGAGCGCTCCGCATCCCGTGTGCCCTCTGCAGACAGCGCACGAGAGAGCGTCAGTCTCATTGACTCCTCACACTCATCTCTGACTCGAGCTTGTTTTGCACCCACCGCCGGGAGAGGAAGTACAAAGAGAAAGAAAAGTGTTCCTCTGGCTAAAGGCCCTGAATCAAGGGTTTAAACTCCTAGACTGACCGCTGGTGTGTTCCAGCACAGTTGCCATGACAACCTCATGCACCGTAATCATACTAAAATCACTTGAAAAGGGTAGGTTTGCTATAGAAAACCTAAAATGTGTTAATAAAAGTGTGACTGACAGATCGACAGGCCCGTGTAGTGGCTCAGTGTTCTACATTTATAAGGAGAATGTCCATTAATATCCAACTATTGTTTAATTTACAGAGGAACAAATCCTAAAAATAGACTTTAGAACACAAACTAGTTAATCATCTATTTTTAGTAAGATTTACTAAATAAAGCCGAGACATTGGTTGGCCAGGGCTCAACATGCATTCCTGGACAGATCATTGCAACCTGGAGTACCTCCAACAAGCTAAACAATGAATCCTTTCAGTGTTTTCGCCAAGTAATTGATTTTCAGGGGCATTTTACCTTTTTAAAGGCATTTTTAGAATTATTGTATCAAATGTATATGTGTTGTCTTTTAGGTCAAATATTTATTCAAGTATTTATTTAATCAATCCGAATACTGTGGGCTGTTATCAATAACATTTTATCAACATCAGCAAATGACACACTCCAAAGGTGGTACAGCCTAGGGCGGCACTATTATGAAATATTAAATAATAAAATCATTATTGTCAGTTATTGTCCTTGATATTGTAATAATTAATTGAATGTTGATTAATAGAACAAATAAAAAAAGGCAGTCAATGACTTAAATCACAACTTTAGGTTAATATTAGAGCCCGACCGATATGGGTTTTTTGGGGCCGATACCGATACCGATATTTGGGAGCAAAAAAAGGCCGATATCGATATATCGGCGACAGGCTCATATCGGCCGATAATATCGGCTAAACGATATATCGGTCGGGCTTTAGTTAATATTGTGTGGCTTTTTTTGTTGTATCATTTTTGTTCATTTTGGTGCCATTCCCGGTTTATTTCCAACCCTGGAGAGAACTAAAATTGTATATATTCTGTATCTGACTACACTTGGAAAAAAAAAATATCATGTGAATATATAATAATTGTACTTTGCAGCACATCAGAAATGTATTGTATTGTATTTACCTGTATAAACCTGTAATTCCAACAATGTTAATTATTGTTCAGACCAACACAAATGCAGAAAGACAGAGACTAACCTTAATATATTCTTGTGTTATGTAAGGGTTTTAATTTGTTCTGCTCATCACAGCTCTACAGATGAAAGGCTGTTGTCTAGAGGGAGTGCCTTACTCATTCACAATAGACAGTGCCATGACAGAGCATTGCATGTTCAGTGAGCAGAAAACTATCAGTGGACTTCCATGGACGTGTGTGTACTTAAGCCTCTGTGAACTGGATGCCCACTCACTCAGACGGACCGTTGGCCTCCATCCTCCAGAGGCCATGCCTCTCTGCCCACTTACATGACAGAACACATCTCAAAAGCCGTGAACCCCTCATCGGTCATTCTCAAGATGAGTGTCTGCTAAAACTTCATAACAATTTAGGTACATCACCCATTCATGTCACCTCTCATAGATGCATCATGAGTCATGAGAGCACGTGTGCCATTGCTCCAAAATCTGTATGTCTACAAAAATGTAAACAAAATATGCAATCACCAAAATCATTTTATATGCAATCACCAAACATCAAATATAAATGAATACTGATATTGTATGCAAATGTATGTATTCTGCAAATACCCA